AGGCCGGCGGGAGCTGGGCGGCTGGGCGCTCACCGTGCCCACGCAAGAGTCCTTGACGTCCACCCACACGGAGTCGGCCACCACCTCCCTCTGGCCGCTGGCGCCCACGAGCGTGTAATAAGCCACCAGGCGGAAGGAGGGGATGAAATCCTTCGTGATGGTCAGGGGCAGCACCACCAGGTCCTGGCTGGGCTCTCGAGCCTGCCGACCCGCCTTCAAGAGCTTGCCCTTGTTCATGACCTGGGGGACGGCGTGGGTGAGGGTGCTGATGGGCAGGAGGGGGCAGAGGGCAGCAGGAGGACGGGCCGGACTGGGCAGGGACCCTGCTGGAGAAGCCGGGAGGGGGGCTGGGGCGCCTGGTGTGGCGGGTGGGCACCGACCAGGTAGGTGTAGTAGCGGATCTTGGCCTCCTGGTTGGCATCGGCGCGGAGGTGGAAATTGACGTTGATCGTCTCACCGGGCTTGAGCTCGGAGCGCGGCAAGGAGAGGTGCAGGTAGTTGTTGGAGTTGTGCATGGTGCTGTAGGGCAGGGCCTGCATGGTGTTGGTGGCCTGCCGGGCCTGCGGGATGCCCTCCTTCTTTGTCTGCGCCTGGGTGGGGAGGAGGGAAGCATGCTGGTGCCCCAGATGCCCGTGCTGAGCGTTGGGGCCTGGGATTACGGGAAAGGGGCTTTGTGGTTGGGATGGAGAGGTCATCCTGGATTATCCGGGTAGGTCCAGTGTCCTCTTGAGGGTATAAAGGGAGGGGAAGGGGAGAGGGAAAAATGAGAGGTGGGAGGAGAGGGAGGAGAAAAGGAAGAGGAAGGAGGAGGAGGAAGAGAGGGATGGGCCTGCAGATGCCCCACTGCTGGCTGTGGAGAGAAGGGGGCCACGAGCCCAGGGGTGCAGGCCCTTCCAGACCCCGGAAGAGTGGGACACGGCTTCTCCGGATCTCCCAGAGAGAACCAGCCCCACCCGCACCTGGGTTGTAGGTCCTCCGACCTCCAGAACGGTGAGGGACCACTCACGTTTAGTCCCTGGGCTGTGGCTTGCGCCCCTGGCCTCCTCTCCCCAGCAGAACTGAGCTGCCGCGCCGTGGGGAAGCCAGCGGACTCCAAGGGGGTGGGGGGTGCTGGTGTGCACGGAGGTGCAGGTGCAAGGACCCAGGTGTGCAAGAGGAAGAGCTCATGCATCTGGCCTGGGCT